ACATATTTATTTGTCAAACTGATTTCAGATTTCCAAATAAAATTATGAATACGTGCTTAAACAATAACATTTGTATTTTTATATATTTGTGAATCAAACTGTAAGATTTAGTTCAATTATTTATCAAACTGATCTCAGATTTCTAAATAAAATTAAGAATATATAATTTCAGATTATACGATAGTAGCTTCTATTAAACAATAACACATATATTTTTATATATTTGTAAATCAGACTGCATGATTTAATTTAATTATTTACCGAACAAATTTGCAAAATAAATTGCCTATGAATACTTAATATTATCTATACGTAATTGTAGGTAGAATTGTATTATTTATAGCATCATGATTGTTACGATTAATTCCCTGTTTGTTTATTTTATAGTACAGACCTTGAAACGAGCTTCAATGTTATTACTGAAGGACTCGGACACGTGGTTATCATCTTAGGTTAATGTTATCGAAAGGTCGAACATGTCGATATTAAAGATAAGTTGAGAGTCACAAAAACAGGGTCAGTTTTTCTGCTATTTCTTCTCTTTAGACGTGTAGTTAGAGTTTGTTCCACTGAGGATAGCAACGTAATTAACGAAAATTTAGTAAAATCTAGCTACACAATCACAATTAATATAAAATGTTATAAAATAATTTACTGAACATCATTTAATCTAAAAAGAAAGCTAGAAAATAGTAAAAATCACGTAAAATAGTAGAAAATTATACAAGAAACAAAAAGAACATAAATAAGAGAAACGTAGTAGCTGACACTAAAGCGTAGTGTAATATGTAGATGCTATTTTCACATTTCTGAGGTTAATCGTCTGAGTTACATAAGTCTAGATGGTTTCGTTAGGAAACGAGAAAATCATGCGTTCGAAGTGAATCTACTTTTAAAAATTACAATCGCCAATTTTGAGTAATATTATAGTATCCTGTAATTTACATGAAAATTCTAGATAAAATAGAGTTTAAAAAGTTGTACAAAATTATAATAATTTCAATATTCGGTAGAGCTGTTCACTTTGAATGTAATACGATCATTGAAATGTTCTCGATTACAACAACAGCATTGTATAAATTTTCGTATTAAAACGTCTATAAACGTTTTGTGCCTCTGACGTACCGTTAACGTTGATAGACGTTAGATAGACGTTGATAGACGCAGCAAAATGCATGCTTTTGGCACCTATTATTACAACGGACATATGTACATGTCAAAATTTATCTACGTTAGCGATTAATAATAATCTGAATCCGAAATTATTGCTACGCGATAAAGTTCTACATGCTTAATAAGTTTCATTCAGCGACAACGAATTTGTGAACAATAATTTTCACAACTGCATAAAGGATTGATTTTACACGTTGAAATGACAAAACAAGCGAGCTTCAATTACGAACTTAGACTCAAGCAAATTGCTTCTTCCTTTCGATAACGTTGGCAATATTAAATTACGGGAAATACGACGATTTGATTTATTGTTTACCGCATGAGTAATAATTATGATGACCTCTGATATTCTACTTCCTAGTCATTTGAAAATGCACGTATTTTATAGCTGTAAATGTTGATGCAATATAATGTTTACAGATCGCTCTCAATTCCATCATGAATGAATTAAAAGAAACACGCGCGCGCGCGCGGATAAACTACAAGGGTATGTATGACTCTCAGAAAGATAGTCAGATGACTCGTCATCTATGCAGTGACGTGCATGAATAGATTAACGAGATTTCTCGATTGTCATAATCTATTCCATCCTCTAGAAAAGATTCTTGGCAACTGTAAGACTCGAGCAGACTTTACTGCTTCAGTCAAATTGATTTATTGGTCGACTACAATTTTCCTGCTTGAACGCCCCCGTTAATGATTCTACTATACTATTCATGATTCTACTATATGATTCATGATTTTACTATACTTATTTCACGATAAACTCATTATAGACTCTCTCTCTAACTGCGTAAGTTTTACTTTTTACTTTCTATTCTTGGATACCTTTTGGACTGCTATTCCACTTTGAAGATAAATCAAAATTAATAATACTGAAAATAATGAAAACATCAGTTTGTTATCGCAAAGTAACGTTATCGTGAAATGATTTTCTTTCACGCGACAATAACATAGTTATTAATAAATAATATTAATAAATATTATCATAAAGTTATTATTAAATAACTATTCATCGGGAAATTAGAATATATATAACCGTTTCAAGTACATTACGTATCGGTAAGTTTCGATGCATGTTCTCATTAATTGCTGATCAAGTTATATTTGGATGTGATGTAAGAAAATCATGTAAAGATTAACGATATTGCTATTACATTTACAGTTATTATAATCAAATAACAAACCATGAAAGAATCACAAAAGAATCTCCCCTCAGAATCTCACAATCAAGTCATTTGAAATTCCAATCCGGAAACACGAACTATAAATATACATGTCCTAATATCTTAATCCCTTAGAAAGAACTATCACCATTTTCTAACTCCTTTTCTTAAATTTCAATAAAACAGGTATAGTATTTCATAAATGTATAGTAACACGACAGCTGCAAAGTTCCATTATGAATTTTTATAACGTGTAAAACAATTTCTGAATCTAATTGATGGTTAAAGCAATAAATTCAAGAAATAGTGCAAGATAATGGAAAATAATGATGAATATTATGGAAGAATCGTATTGTTTTGATTTTCAGAGAACCAAACATTCTAATCGATACACAATAAATCGAGTGCGTATTGATGTAGGCTGGTATTAAATTGACCGGTTTGGGTTGACATTTTGTTTATTTACAAATTTATTGTGTAATCCACTAGTTAGTTCAATACACTCCATGATTTTATTAAACTCAATTTCACGATTTCTTTCTAGGTTCAAGTAATAGGTGCAAATAACTCTCCCGCGAGTTAATTGCATTTCGCCTATTCGCGCACGCACAGTGCATTCATTTCGACCCTCTTCTTTTCTCGCTATCGCCACGATAATTGGACTAAGGATATTCAATGTACCAGATAATTTCAATAAAATCCACAACACTCTTTCGCTATTTTTAACCAAATGGAATCTTTCGAGCAAAACAAATGATTCCGTTCGATCTGTAAATTTCTTTCAAGCAATGCAGTTTAGCACGACGAACTGCAATCTACCGATAACAAAATATCATGTTCTTACGTATGAAACTTTATGCAAATAAATAACCACGGAAACATCGTAATTAACTCACCAGTACGAAGCTCGACAGAGGATCTTCTTCTTCTTGGTACACTGTGTCGGTCCATCGCTAGCCAACGAAACCAAAATGGAGGGAAACCACCCTTGGTTCCAGGAAACAATTCGCTGTTGCTCGCTCCTTCAACACGATCGCCCGATACTTTTTCCTTTATACTCCATGGTCAGTATCCAAATTCTTGGCGATCCAAACACCGTTCGGATCACAATAAAATAAAATCGAATTCACATCCTACAGAACGGTAGCACACGGTCTTCTGTTCGAATCACATCGAATCCTTCAGAATTCGGATCTTCGTGACGTCGATTCGTGAAATGTTCAATTTAACTATAAACAAGCACGATAATTGTCCTCGTAGCACCGATTCAGACTTTTCACAAAGAAGTTGAGCTTCGAATCTCGACTGTTCGATGATCGGAGACGTAAAGATCACTGGAAGGTGGGAGATCGAGGATGCCGGTGGAGCTATTCGGATCGAAAGGGTGCAAAGAACTGTCTCGAGCCAAGGGCGGAGTGAAATCCGTGGGCTTTTAGTCGAGGACCAAGGGCCGGGGCTCGAAGAGTTAAGCCGGAAGAGGAACCTCGCCGCTAGGATAAATCGAGGAGAGTCCTCTATCTTCGACGGGCGCTTACTCGAAACTAAAGACCGACTAAACACCGCATTCGAGAACTCCCTCGCATTCCCATACACAGGGAAACGCGGTCACGCATACGCGTGCAGCCGTTTTCGTGGCACGCTCACGCGTTTCGAACGTTGGCCAAGGATTCACGCGGGAGAGGAGCTCTTCATCGTCGAGGCTCGACCTACGCTATCGTGAAGAGAGAACCGACGCGCCGGTTCCCCGTAATCTCCTCGCTTTTTTAGTCGACTTAAGGGTAGAGCCTCTTGTTGCGCTTTAATCTCCGACACGTGCCAACTAACAACTCCAACTTCGGCTCGTTATTACTCGGCTGCTGCATACGTAATGACCCAGCTTTGAATGGATACCTTCAGAGTCTGTATTCCTAGCAAATAGAATAATGTTGATCGTGATACTGTTATGATTCTGGGGAGAGACCGTTTATTTCCTATTGAGAGAAAACGTTTTGGTGCAAGATGAAGTTTTTGTAATTAGCCTTATAATACTTCTAGCTTTCTCTGTTAGTCATTAGAAAACTATAGATTTTATATAGTGGGTCAAAAAGATTTTTGTACACCTTTTAAAACGAAACGAACGCAATGTTCAATTGTCTGCAGTTTATAACAACGTTAATCAATTTCAAGGAAATTTTCAGTATGCATATAAGTTACCGAGATCTTCAAAACGCATTTTTTAAATTTTTGTTGTAGGCTAAGTGAAAAAAGTGACAAGTGGAAAGTTTCTAATTTTATTTGTCACTTCAAGCAGTTTCAATTTTTTAAAACAATTTTTCAGCCACTGTATAGTAAACTGATCCCTTTGACATACCAAATTTAGATCTTTTGGTCCAATTATAAAGATGTTATTCTATTTTAAAAGATGTACGAAAATGTGTAAGAAACTGTAAAGAATGTTTATATATTATTTTTAATATGTTAACATTATTTTAGAAAGAAAGAACTTTGTACTCGATTTTCAGTTCTTATTATACCTATTGATGCTGATCTGGTGAAAAAGGAATTTTTTAAATTGGCCTTGGCATGCTTTTAACTTTCTATTGTTCATTAGAAGACTGTGCACTTTATGTGCATTTGCCATTACATTTAGTAGAGGAAAAAGAATAATAATATGTATATATGTGTATTACTTGCAATCTATGAGTATTATTTAAAAAAGCAAGAACTTTGTACTTGATTGTTATTTCTGGCAATTAATACTGAATTGGTACAAGTAGAATTTTTTGAAACTAGCCTGAAGATACTTCCAATATTTTTCTATACGTTAAGAATGGATCTTATAGATTTTTCACAAAATTGCATAGCCGAAATCCAAAAACATTTATATGTTATTTTCGATGTATAAAAATTACTTTAATAAGACAGAACTGTATACTTGTTTTCTAAATCTTTTTAAATCTAAAGATGAATTTTTTAAATTCATTCTTAGAACAAAATAAAGGGACAAAATATTTGTTGTCTGCTTAAGAGAGAACATACTGTCATTTATCTAGGTTGTTATGTATTTCCTGTAATACTATGCAATATCTTTGTGCATATATCATTATTTCACCACGTTTAAAATAGTATTATATCTATTGTCTGCCGCAGATCACCATCAAGAACCGTCACAGTTTTCCTAGAATTATGGTTTAGTTATGCGTGATGCTTTAGTTAACAAAAATTGCTGTTTTAAATACTGCACGTATTGTAGAGTAAGATTCTGTAATTGTTTTCATTAGCTCCGACATTAATTAATTGTCTCTTATTGAAGTGTTACTCACGGAAACAAGAACTGTTACCCACGGTCACATCTAATTAATGTAAATGAATTCTGCATAGTTCTTCCCCCTCTTGTAGAGGAAAAAAGTATACTTAATCGAACAATTCCCTCGAAAAAATAATAGAAGAAGATGTATCACGTTATCTCATCGTAACTATAAGTATATTTCTTTTCTCAACTTTAGTTATCAGACTGCAGATTTTATACATTTATAATAAAAGTGAGTGGATGAAATATAGTAATATTAACTTATTGTCATTAGCAAGAGAAGAAACAGTTAGTTTAGTTTTCAAATAAGTTAAACAAAAATCATATTATTCAGTGCTGTAGAAGCACAGTGTTGTACAAATGTTCCCGCAATTTATCCTATCGTGTTAGAGGGAAACCGTGTTATAGGATGCCGTGTTGTAGGAGGGTTTCCTGTATACATATAAAAAACGCGTTCGTGACTCCAATCTAATAATGAAGCACACATTGAATTTGAACACAAAGCAGATCTTTCATATTTTGAGATGTCAAAAGCTGCAAGTGCCAAAGGCTTTCAATATTGCACATGACCAGGCAGTCAAAAAGTTGCTGCTAATGAACGTATATAAAAAGAAAGCAGAGAAATCGGTCGGACCCCGAAAACAATAAATAAAACATCGTTTCTCCAAAACCTGAAGCGAAAAGGTTTCGAAAGAAATCCTTTTGTTTCATAATAAGGATATTAATGTATTTTATCGCGTTTATTTCATACTTTCATATTTATAATTGCATTCTCTGTATAAATAGATTTAACAAACCTCTTAAATTTGAATAATCTATGACTTTCTCCTTTTCAAACCAAGGGGTAGTGTCGGCGTAAATAAATATATTTTTATTAGGTTAATAGGCAAAAAACGTTTCCTGACTCCTGTTCTAAAGGAGTCTGAAGAATGACAACCGAGGCTTGGTAGCGAGTGCTAAAAGGACCTTGTTGGTCGTACAGTAGCTCGGCTACCTGATTTTCTTTAAACATGCGCTCACTTGGCGCCATCAAAGGAAGACAACTTGCTCCAGTTGAAAGAGAAATGGGTCGGAACCAAAAAAATTGCTGACGGAACCACAAGGGGAGAATACGTTAATAGTTTTCGAAGAGGCTTCGTTGAAATGGCATAAGTGTTGTATATTTACACTGGCGTTACAGGCTCACACCTGGACGCAAGAATAGCGCTGCTTCTTTTTCCTCGAAGGATCTTCTCACCCGTGCGTCAGACGATCCCTAACAAAAGGGATTACCGATTCTTCTTCGTTTCCTTCGGCGATGTTTTATTATTACAATACAGCACGACGGCGGCGCCGCTCGTCGCGAGAGAACCGTTCTCCTATGTACAGTTTTTTAATTGTACGCGTGCGTGGGCGTGAGTTCCGAAAATTTGGTATTTAATCCTCCAACACCATAAGAACAATGTTCCATTTATACGATACAATTTTCCGCATTATTCTCAAAATATAATCGCTGTGAACAGTTACACGATTGCGTAATAAGCGCATAATAGTATATAATGAATAGTATATAATGAATAAAAGTATTTTAATATTCCATTTCCTTAACAATTTTTCAATATTCCCCAATCGAGTCTCTATAACATAACAACAACAATATAATAGTATATAATGAATAAAAGTATTTTAATATTCCATTTCCTTAACAATTTTTCAATATTCCCCAATCGAGTCTCTATAACATAACAACAACAATATAATAGTATATAATGAATAAAAGTATTTTAATATTCCATTTCCTTAACAATTTTTCAATATTCCCCAATCGAGTCTCTATAACATAACAACAACAATATAATAGTATATAATGAATAAAAGTATTTTAATATTCCATTTCCTTAACAATTTTTCAATATTCCCCAATCGAGTCTCTATAACATAACAACAACAATATAATAGTATATAATGAATAAAAGTATTTTAATATTCCATTTCCTTAACAATTTTTCAATATTCCCCAATCGAGTCTCTATAACATAACAACAACAATATAATAGTATATAATGAATAAAAGTATTTTAATATTCCATTTCCTTAACAATTTTTCAATATTCCCCAATCGAGTCTCTATAACGTAAATATAAAAATAAAATAATTGTAGTCGGGGAATTAATATCAGAGTGTCCCAGTTAGTATGACGTATCTAGAGATAGTCTTGCAATAATAGTAAGTTCAACAGAACGTAGTTTCAATCGTTGCAGTGTTTAAAATCCTCATTTACCATTATTGGCATTTGGTAAACAATCTTTTTGTATGATATCAAATAGAATTAATGAGAGAGAATTTATTGTGCCACACGTTTGTGTAATAACACGAATGGTATATTATCACGTTACTTATACTTGTACCACTCAGAACAGAAAAATATATATATGTATTATTTCATTTTAAATATTCAAATGTTCTGATTAGACTGCGAATTTTATAAATTTATTACAAAAATTAATTGTTCAAATTGAAATCAGTGAAAACATTCGAAGAATTTAAAAATCCTAATGATTACCTTCAATTCGTTAAAATTATTATGGAAAGAGATACATAAATGTTAACGTAGTCTCAGTATTATCTCAAAATTATTAAGAAAAGAAATAAACAAATGTTAACGAACGATATTATTTGTTTTGCTTAAAAATCAATATCTATATAGTTTCCCCTAAAAATTCCTTTCTTAGATAACATAAGTGTTTGGATGTTGTTAGACAATATAACTATACACAATTATCCATTTGATAATGTCTTATTAAGT